GGGTAGTGAAGACCAGCCCTAAGAGTGTCACAGCTAAATACAAGATCAAACAGATAGTTTAGCATAAGTTGTTAGTACATATTCTAAAGGACCATTCAAGGTGAAATGGCCAGTTTGTTGCCATAGGACAAAAAGGGGGTTAGAGGATTACCAATTGTTGGAATAAGCTATAAATCCACAAACAAGGGAACCTAGGCAGACCCATAGTATCTGGCCACAGCACTCTTACTGAAGGAATATCAGGACTCAGAGAAACCATCCTCAAACTGCTCACCATACAAAGGGCCATCTTCCTCCAGTGCACAACCGACTTCTTCCACAAACTCCATAACATTAACAACCTGCCTCAGAACACCATCCTTACCATCATGGATGTCACTTCCCTATACGCCAATATGCTTCACAATGATGGCATAGCTGCCAGCCTCAAATATTTACAAGAAAATGCATGACCTCAGATATCCACCCCAAAGACATCACCCAACTCATCCATTTTATCCTCACCCATAACAATTTTACATTCAACAACAAACATCTTGCCCAAACCATGGGAATAGCCATGAGTATTAGGATGGCTCCCCAATATGCCAACCTCTTCATAGGCCAACTTGAAGAAGAATTTCTGGACAAATGCGAAACCAATGATATACCTGAGATACATTGATGATATTTTCATCCTCTGGACAGACGACTTAATCTTCCTCATAGATTTCCACCACAACTTGAACGACCAACATCTGTCCGTAAAACTCTGTCTGGAACACTCCCACACTAGCATCAACTTCATGGACACGGCCATCAGTTTCAACAATGAAACCTACAGACAACTATATACAAGAACTCCATGGATCACCACACCAACCTTCATAGATCCAGTAACCACCCCAAACACACCAAGAAATCTGTTATCTATAGCCAGGCACTCAGATATTGTAGAATATACACCGAGGAGAAAATCCTGGATATACACCTTAACACACTCAAAACTGCGTTCACCAAATAGGGACCCTCCACCAGAGAAGTAGATAACATCATGGAATGGGCCATCCAAATACCGTAAGAGAATCTGCTTTTAGAAATAAAACCCTCTGTGACCATACATGCATAGTTGTCACCTACCACCCCACACTGGAACCCAGATGGGGTATCATCAAACAGCTGCAACTCATACTCAATGGGGACTCCATCCTGAAAGAAATCTTTCCTGAACGCCCTCTTCTGGCCTTCAAGAAACCCCCCCAATCTCTCCAAACTCATCATCAGAAGCAAGCTCCCCACAAACCAGGACACACCAATTCAAAGTGGCACACGACCCTGCCACATCAACAGATGCAAAACCTGCAGACATATCTCCACTACTACCATGATCAACACCCCCCACTACTAATCTTTCAAGATCCATGGGTCCTATACATGCCTATCACAACATGTGGTGTACCTCATCCAGTGCACTAAAAGCCCCAATAACAACTATGTGGGTGAAACCAGACAATCATTACGCTCTTTCACACATGAAAATAATAAAAGACAAAAACATCATATCACTTGTGGGTGAACATAAAGCGATCACTCTATATCTGACCTATCAGTCCCCATCCTCAAAGGAAACCTGCTCAACGCTTTCAAAAGATGAGCCTAGAAGCTTAAATTCATAACTTTGCTAGACACTAAAAATCATGGTCTTAATAAAGACACTAGATTTATGGCTTATTACAACAATCTGTAGCCTTCTAACTCCTTTTTGTCCTATGACTTTAGGGGTGTTAACGGGCCACTTTAAAAATGTATACTAACTGCTTATGCTAAACTATCTGTTCAATCTAGTATTCCGGTGTGACAACCTTAGGCCAGGTCTGCACTTGAAACTTACACTGATATAACTACATCACTCAGGGGTGTGAAAAATCCACAGCCCTGAGCAATGTAGTTATACCAACCTAATCCCTGAAGTAGACAGCGCTGTGTCTACAGGAGGGCTTCTCTCGTCAACATAGCTATTGCCTCTCCTGGAGGTGGAGTAGCTACACTGATGGGAGAAGCCCTCCCAGAGGCATAGATAGCAGCTGCTGCAGCATTTAAATGTAGATCTGCCCTCAGTACCTTTCCTGAACCTGAAGAAGAGCTCTATGTAGCTTGAGAGCTTGTCTCTCTGACCAACAGAAGTTGGTCCAGTGAAAGATATGACCTCACTCACCTTGTCTCTCTAATCCCCATGTAGTCATTTACACCAGTGGGTCTATGCAGTTCATCCCCATGCCGCAAAACTTTCATTTCCTCTTGGGGGCAAGGTGGGTGAGGTAATTTCTTGTATTGGACCAACTTCTGTTGGTGAGAGAAACAAGCTTTCACAGAGTTCTTCAGGTCTGGGAAAAGTACGCAGTATCACAGCTAAATACAAGGTGGAACAGATTGTTTAGCATAAGTAGTTAACACGTATTCCAAGGGACCATTCAAGGTGAAGTGGCCCATTCACACCCCTCCAGTCATAAGGCATGTCTATACTACAAAGTTAAGATGACCTTACATCGACCTAAGTAGGCGTACACACTACAGCAGGGGTCGGCAACCTTTCAGAAGTGGTGTGCCGAGTCTTCATTTATTCACTCTAGTTTAAGGTTTCGCGTGCCAGTAATACATTTTAATATTTTTAGAAGGTCTCTTTCTATAAGTCTATAATAATATAACTAAACTATTGTTGTATGTAAAGTAAATAAGGTTTTTAAAATTTGTAAGAAGCTTCATTTAAAATTAAATTAAAATGCAGAGCCCCCCAGACCAGTGGCCAGGACCCGGGCAGTGTGAGTGCCACTGCAAATCAGCTGGTGTGCCACGTTCGGCACACGTGCCATAGGTTGCCTACCCCTGCACTACAGTATTCCTGCTGTAACTCACCCGCTATGTCGACCTAGTAAATCCACGTTGACGAGAGGCGTAAGGCTTAGGTCGACGTAGGTCAGGTGACGTAGTGTCTGTATAGACACTGCATTATTTGCGTCGCTGTTGGCTGTCAGCATGGCCGACAATTTCACTGCTGATAGGATCTCTGTTTTGAAAGTGGGGGGAAGGGTGTTCCAGCTGTGAGCCCCAGCAGTGCTGACAGCTGGAGCCTCACTGCCCAGCGCTGAGAGCCTGGGCTGTGGGCTCCCCGCAGAGCTCCCAGCTGGAGCCTGGCTTCAGCCCAGGCTCTCAGCTCCCTGCTCTGCATGGAGCACCCAACTGGAGCCTGGCTGCCACCCAAGTTCTCAGCTCCCACAGAGCAAGCTCCGTGCAGAGTGTGGAGCTGAGAGCCCGGGTGGCAGCCTGGCTCCAGCTTGGATCTCAGCACCGAGCTGAGAAACTTGGGCTTTCAGCCCCCTACACAACCCCTCTTAAGTGAGTGCAAGTGCTCCTGGTGAGGATGTGCATCATCAACAGAAGGAGGGGATGGACATGAACCCCTGCAGTAATTACTGCAGTGGCTATGTTAGGTTGACTTAACTTTGTAGTGTAGACGTGCCCATAGGGGGTGAAAGGAAGCGGGGGGAAGCAGCTGAGGGGGAGTTGTTAGTGGGTTATAGCTTGTTGTAATAAGCCATAAATCCAGTATTTCTCTGATATACTGGGACCGACACCGCTACAATAACACTGCATTTCCTCTGTGGGTCAATGGAGAGAGAGCATCTGGTGTTTGTTCATCCTTTATTCCAGCACAGAGGAATGGAGTGCGAGTAACAAATGCAGAGCACACAATCTAAGCAATGACTGTGTTTATCTTCCCAGTGGGCATCTGAGCCCTTGTTATCTGTTTTAGCTGTATCTCTTTGGTATCTGTTTTAGCTGTATCTTTTTTTTTTAAAGGGACAGAAATATTTTTTCCAACCTTCTGAGATGTGGCCCATTGTATATTGGCTAAGATATTTCAAGTGCTGCGATATGCTTTTTATTTTTCTAAGAATAATAAATTAGGAGGGAATAGTCCTCTCCTTTTGAAAGCAAAACTAGTACAGCACAAGTGTTGCTTTTCAAACAGCCTCTGCTCTCGTTTCCTTTTTGTTTTGAAAACCACAGACTCTGCCACATAGTGGGGTGGGCCTGGTAAACCAACATGATCAGTGTCCATTGGGAATGGAGCACAAAGGTGTAAGGATTTAATATGCATGGAGAAATTATTATTCTCACAGGTGTTCAGCGACAGACAGCCCAATGTGTGAAAAGGGGGGGAAGTGTGATCAAAAACTCCTTCTGTGACCCAGAAATGCAGCCAAATGGACGACAAAAGAAATGCAATGAAAAGGATTGTCCACCCAGGTAACAAACGCTGTGAATACTAGGATACTGTACAGGAGCACTATTCAATGTGTTGTATTCTAATTCAAACATAGTATTCAGGGGAGGCAAAGAACACAGGAATTGCAATAACAATTCAGATCAATAGTCCATCAGTGGTCTCCAACAGTGGCCACTACCAGGTGTTTTAGGGAAGAGTGAAAGAAACCCTGTAAAGGACAATTTCAGAATTATCTGCCCATAAGAGAAGTTTCTTACGATCAGTTAATGGGTAGTCTATGCCATGAAGCATGATTATGTGTATATCTCAAATATTTTATCCTAGCTAATAAAGCTGTGGATATATACCAGTGGTTCCCAAACTGTGGGGCATGCCCCCCTAGAGGGGCATGGAGGAACATTTGGAGGGAGTGTAATGGGGTCCAGGCCAGCCCCACAGGGGACAGGAAGGGAGTGCCACCGAGCCCGGCTCTGCCCCCAGCTCCGCCCCGGCCCCAGCGGCAGCTCGGACTGCAGTCCCCAGCCCCGACCGTGGCTCCCAGCCCCAGATTCCAACTATGGATCCCAGGGGGGTGCGGACAGGTTCCATTACGGGTAAGGGGGGGGGTGCAAAAGGTTTGGGGACCACTGATGTACATGTTACCCTTATAAATATCTAACCATTTTTAAAATTTTGCTAATCTCTTAGCTTTGATATCATGTGATGAAGGTTAATATCTCACTGTGTGTTCGAAACAAGTATTTCTTTTCAACAGTTTTAAATCTTCTGCTTTTCAGTTATATTGAATGTTCCCTTGTTCTGGTATTAGGAGGGAGGGTAAATAGGAATGCCCAATTTACCTTCTCTGTACATTTATTATTTAATACACTTATGTCCCTACTTATATGTTTACTCTCTCTAAACTAAACAGTCCTGGTCTTTTCATTGTCTACTCTCATGGAAGTTTTCCCATGTCCCTATTGCATTATGTTAATTCTTACTCATCGTTGTTGTTGTCTATCTCTGGACCCTCCCTTTCTGCTACATCTCTTTGTGGGATGGGGCAACCAGAATTGAATACAGTATTCTAGGTGAGAGCAAACTATTGATTTATATGTAATGCACTATTTTTAGTACTGTTTTCTATCTCACTGTTTACATACCCAAATATTTTTTGCTTTATTTATTTATTTTTGACAACTGTCCGTCACTAAGCAGATGTTTTCATTGAGCTGTCCGTAATGATTCTTAAGGTTTTTTCCTTAGTGGTTCCAGTGAATTTAGAACCAAGCAATGGCTGGAGTAGTTAAAATTATTCCTTCCACTGTGTATAACTTTGCATTTGTCAGTACTGAACTGCACGATGGATATTGCTGCTTTTATATAGTAAATAATGTACAGATGTTAGGGGGATTAATGGTTTTATTACTTGTTCCTGCAGCATTTCACAATTATGTATGATGTCTCTTTGGGGAAATATCTAGGAATGCTGTTCCAGCCTATGTAAATCATTTTAAAAGTATAAAGAACGCAGCTTGGTAGTAAATCTGTGCAAATTGCCAAGGAAGTCAATTGACAGCAGAATCAAACTTATTAACTAATGGCTTCCATAATAGCTGAGGCTAAACTGAACACACAGGAGCATTTATATTTATAAAAATATAAATTAAGCTCTTTATTCCAAAGTCCCAAAGAGAAATGACTGGGTTATTCAGAAGTTAAAAGATCCTTAAAGACCATATTATCTAGCTTCTGCTGCTTACATTTGGAAATCACTGTTTCTCTTCACTAGCAGTCAGAGCCTGCTGTAGGAAATTAGATTGCTGTAAATCATCTCTTAGTGATTATAGAATTATGTTAAACATGACTTGTTGTGCCTAGCTTTCTGCACACTGCAGAAGAGATGCTCTAGCTTAATCCCAGTCTGATTGACAGTTCTAAAACCATTTACAATTCTTTCTGTCTCCTTTGGTAAATGTCCTTTATAGAGTACTAGTGATAATAGTAAAATATTGATAACGTGAAATGCAGGAGATTCATAAAACATAGCGATAGGGGGTTGGTTGTTTATTTCTCTCTTCTTAGTTGTGATAATTAGTTGCCTGTGATGTATATGAGCTGCTGGACAGCATAGCTACTACCCGTAGCAGCACAAAATCATAGAGTAGCCCTGATTTCTGATCATTAAAAAAGAATAAGTAAGAAACAGAATAATAAATCTGTAGTTGCATTTAAAGCACACACACAGCACGTGAAGCATGGAACTTAGGAGCCCCTGTTCTAAAAACACAGGCCTCTGCTACTTGAGTAATGGGGGATTGCTGTTCCCTATCAAGCCTTATAGCAATATATCCTCTTTGTAGACTGCTCACTACAAGGCAATACGATCACAGACTGAGTTAGTGCTAACATTTCATTCCACAATGGCCAGTGGTGCATGCGCATGCGCGCTCGCACACACACACACACACACTAGCCATGGACTCATAGTGAGCTATTGCAATTATTTTCTAAAGCTTTGAAGCCCACAGCTAGGCTCCTACAGCTGTGTCATCTACAAGCCAGAAGGATGGCTAAGCTTCCTCTCCGCAAAGTATTTATTTATTTAGTGTGTGCATAGTCATCTAGCCAAGCGATGGCATCTTCAGTGGCGTGATGCAGTTCTTCTGGATCCTCCAATGGCAGGCACGCTAGCAGTTCAAACTAGGAAAGTAAAGTAGTAGTAAAGCAGTTTCTTTGTTTTGACGAAAATCAGAGTGACAGGGAGATGGTATTTCTGCCCTTGAAAATAGGGCACACAGGGAAGTATTCACTTGCTGAATCTGTCAGAGATTCTAAGGATACAGGCCTGACTATACTCAATGCTTGTTAAGAACTGAGAAGGGATTTGGAGGGTCAAACACAACGCAGTCATGGATGGACCTTTGGTTGGCTATGTAACCATACCCCTGGATTTCCTGGCTCCAGAACTAAGTTACCATCAAAGGCAATGCTCTTATTAGCCGGTCATCCACTTTCCAACATGCAGATCAATTTCTCAATGGAAATGTATCATCAAAAGCAGTCATGAGGAAGTTTTCTTAGATAGCTTCCTTACCATCTATTGGATCCCATGGACTGAAAACACGTGACCACAAGATTAGCCATCATACTATGAATTCAAACCGAATCATACAGGAGCTGGAAGACATTCCATTCTATTGCTATGCAGCTTACCTTTGATAAAATGTACATAATCATCAGCGTGGCTGCAAGTCGCTCAGGGTCATGTCTTGACTTCCACCTTCTCAGCTAATAGATTCCAGGAAGTTAGTTGGAAACTGGTTAAATCACAGGTTTCTGAGAAGTCGGAGTCCAAACATTCATATTTCTTAGGCGATTGGAGGCATATGATAAAACTCTTTTGCCCATTCTCTAGTTAAATAATCTGGAGCTACAGAAGACATTTCTAAAATATTTTATTGCACACAAATAAGTAAAGTGTCAACTCAGAGTAGAACAGAAATGGTTGACTCCTACAATGGGGAGCTAGCATTTGATGGAAATGCAGATATGACAGCCCCATTAACTAGAGTGTTATTGACAGGCAGCAGCACAGAAAGATGCTGGTATGAACCAATATAATTTGCAATTATATTGCTTGGTTGGTAAGCAGGTGTTTATCTTTATAGATGCTCAGTATAAAATTCATTGTATTGTCCCGAAAGGAAAGAACGATGTATTTTCTTTACTTACACTCTTCTGTACCTACCAAATGAATAGAAATTTTCTTCCTTCCATCTAAAGAAAATTGCCCTGGTCTTTTTTTGAGATGAATACCTGCTCAGCCAAAATGCCCATAAATAGATCATTTGAAGTCTTCAATCTCCTGCCATCTCAGCGGTGTTCTGACATTCTCAAGGAAGCTTGCTGCTGCTTTTAGAGAATAGAGAAAAACTATTTTAACCACCGCCAACAGTTTGCTTAGTAAATTCCAGCAATCGTAAAGGACAGAGAGTATTGTTGTTATTTGTATTACAGTAATACCTAGAGGTCCCAGCCAAGATTGAGGCCCTATTGTCCTGGGTGCTGTACAGAAACATGCTAATAGTAATACCTAGGCCTGTTCATCAGTATATCTCAAAATGCTTTACAAAGGAGGGCAGTATCCCTGAGGCCCAGGGAGGGAAGTGACTTATCCAATGTCAATGTGAATTGAACCCAGACCTCCTGCACTCTAGTCCAGTGTGCGATCCATGACACCATCAGAGACAATCCTTCCCTCAACATGCTTAAACACATGCTGAAAAAAAGGAAGCATTATTATTTCCAATATTTTTATTGGGGGAGGAATGAGGCACAGAGAAATTAAGTGATTTCTCAGGGTCACACAAGAATAGAACTCAAGATCGCCCAAGTCCCAGTGTAGTGTCTTAACATGGCCATCATTATTCTGTTTGTGGAAGCAGAAAATTGCCTGTCCAACCTTAATTCAGCCCTCTTGTGCATATGCATTATGATACATTAGACACAGGCCAAATACTATTGTTCCACAGGACCCCTGCCTCATTCAGTGCACTGGATGGAACTGCTTTGCGGACGGATCAGGGTTGTGTAGTGAGTGAGGCTTTGTTGGTAGGACCCCGGTCTCGTTTCTTGCAAAATTTGGAAGGTGTGTAGTGAATGAGGCAGGGGATTGCAGGAAAAGAAAGGGTGGGTGTCAAGACCGAGGCAGTTGATTGTTGCCCTGGAGAGCTGGATTCTATCCATGCCCCTGCCACAGAGTTCCATGTGATGGTAGGAAAGTCATTTAAACCAATGCACAGGAAAAATAGTATAAAATCAAACAACAACTTTATTAGTTTTAAGAGAGAGCTGGACAAATTCATGAGTGCTATTGTGTGATGAGGTTGCTTGTGATGGTGGGGGTCAGACTTCTGGTTTATGTTTTATGTTCCTAAAAGCTCATCCTTCAAGGCTTCAGTCAGCCACCTCCAGGGGTCAGAAAGTGATTCCTCACCACCACCACCACCCCAGATTTTTTTAATTTTCTTCCTCTAAA